CACTTCTCTTAAACAGTTTATTGACGCCTAAATGAACTTAAAATTCAGAAATCTGCCGGCAGAATATGTTGGCTTTTATTATCCTGCTGCCTGCAGTTTGGATTATTTAGATGAAAAACACCTACCAGCTGCCGCGGTGAACCGCGAGGAGGCGACCCGGCCAGAGGCTGCTGATGAAGGGATTCCTACTGTCGGCGCACCGCTGGTATGTGGGGGTCTGAGCGGCTCCAACAGAAAAAATATTGGAAGGCAGGATGATAACCTGAATGAACTGACTGCACTGATTACGTTTTCAGGTGTATTTTCTCACTTAAAAACATATTAAAACTACTTTATTCCCACTGATCACAGCAAATATAGCTGCAAGGCAGAGAAAGGATAGTGAAGCTCCGCCCAACGCGCGTCAGACACACTTTTGCACCGCGCAGCCAGAGCAGCAAAGCTGCTTCAGCCGCGCGTCAGAACTAACTGGTACAAGCAGCAAAAATGAAGCAGCAGACGCGATTTTGCTGCGTCCGGTGTGAAAGCAGCACTGCACAAAGATCGCCACTGTGCTAGCAACGAGCATGCTTTTAACTGGGGGCGTGTAGCAGTTCTCGCCGTAAAGCAAGACTGACTCTCACGAGACTTCTGAGCCTGTGGGTGCGGGTCGGTGCTCCTGCAATTGCAAGTGCGGTATTTTCCCCACAGACCACCAGGGCGGCCGAGAATACCTTTGTTCAACCTGAAATGACTCATTTAATCATCCAAAACGTTATGGAACACATTAATTACCTGAAAAATGTTGCATAGTGTGCCTTTAAATGCTCAATTCCTATTTTTTTTTTGTGGAATCTGATTTTTTTTTTTTTTTTTTTGCATTGCCGTTAACAGACATCCAAAGTTCCAAAAACTAATTTCAGGGAGATGCTCGTCCGCTGCTAGAACTCTGTGTGGCATTGACCTGCTCTCTAATCTGAGCTGCTGCTAACCTGAGATTTCTGGGGCTGGGGATTCGGATGAACTTCTCCTCCGCAGTAGAGGTGACTCTTGGTATTCGTTTCCTAGGGCGGTCCTCATGTGAGCCTGTTGCTTTGTAGCGCTTGATGGTTTTAGTGACTGCACTTTGGGACACTTTCAAAGTTTTGCCAGTTTTTCGGACTGACTGACCTTTATTTCTTAAAGTAATGATGGCCAATCATTTTTCTTAACTGTTTTTTTCGCCATAATACAAATTCTAACAGTCTATTCAGCAGGACTATCAGCTGTGTATACACCTGACATCTGCAAAACACAACTGATGGTCCCAACCCCATTTATAAAGCAATAAATCCCATTTATTAAATCTGACAGGGGACACCTGGCTGTGAGGTGAAAACCATTTCAGGTGACGGCCTCTGGAAGCTCATCAAGATAATGCCAAGAATGAGTGAAGCAGTAATCAAAGCAAAAGGAGGCTAATTTGAAGAACCTAGAATATAAGACATATACTTTTTTGTTAAGTATATATTTTCACATGTGTTAATTCATAGTTTTGATGCCTTCAGTGTGAATCTACAATTTACATAGTCATGAAAATAAAGAAAACTCTTTGAATGAGAAGGTGTGTCCAAAAGTTTTGGTCTGTACTGTACTTTACTTTGATTCAACCTAAGAGAGTAAACCGAAACTTATCGGCTTATTTTTCTGACTAATCCAATCAACATTCTGACAACCAGTCACCTGTTGAACAGAGCATCGCTTTGGACAGAAACGCAGAGGTTTCACAAGCAACCTGCTCCACACTTTGTTGTGGCTGCTAATTCAAAGTAGATCTAATCTGCACACGGTGCACAAATTATTGTATTGCCTGCTCGCTTTCACTCACATAAAAAAAAAAACACCATCTAAAATCCGGTCTAAAATCCGGGATAATTTATCCGACTCGCGGGCATCTGTGAACAACTATCGATATCCGGGAGACTCCCGGAACCTCCGAGAGACTTGGGATGTCTGTGTTCACATTTCCAAATATATATGCGACTTGTATGTGATCCTATGTGAACTGCATTCCTTCAACTTAAGTGTCCCGCATGCGCAGTAGAGGACGCATTGACGTCACAGGCCAGCGTGCTCTGTGTTTATGGAAGTAAACATGGATGGTTGTGTTGGAGCGCATCTAGCGGTCTTTCCCAACCTTAAAAAAACTCTCTTTTCAATATAATTAAATATAAATACTACTCTCTGCATTATTCTCCGGCATGGTTTGGTGTTTTTGTTCCTGCTTCGCGTAGCAAGACGCAGAATAGTGACCTGACGGGTATTAATGACGTTCAGGTCGGATGAATGCGACCCGGCCGTTCCCACACAGGTCACATTTGAAAAGATCCGATTTGTATCAGAGTCAGAACCACAGAGCCAAGTGGCCTGGGTCGCATTGGAAAAAAATCAGATCTCTGTTGTTCAGACTTCATGAAAATATCAGATCCATGTCGCATAGGGGCAAAAAAAATCGGATTTGGGTCACTTCAGGCTGCTGTGTGAACGTAGCCTTTGTAAACAATGCAAAACGTTATGTTTGGAATAAACCAACACAGTTTATCACCCTAAACACACCATCCCTACTGTCAAAAATGGTGGTGGCCAGAGCATGTGAGCGGAGCGTGGAGCAGAGTGGATGAAATATGGTGGATTGCAGAGCGGTTTTCAACTCAAAGGCCAGAGCGAGGATTTCGCTTCGCTCCAGTTCGCTCCGATGCGCTCACAACAATCAAGGTCAATGGAATAGACTTTATTTAAATTCATTATTGCCTTAAAACCTATGGGTCAATGTCTATGCTGTAGTCTGTGCCTATAATCTGTTATAGTCTATGTCAGGGGTCACCAACCTTTTTAAGGCTGAGGGCCACTTCAAGGGTACTGAGACGTAGGAAGGGCGACCATTACTGACCCATGAGCTGCAAGGGTTAGCGTTAGCCTAAACTTTGTTCATTATCAACATATTTCTATTGTTTCTGTTAATTTTTAAGTTTATTTAGACATTGTCATTTTGAAATCTCTATAAATGATTAAAAAGAAGAGCAACAGAATAAAATAAAATTTCAAACTTAGCCCACTGGTGGGTTGTTCTTTATTTAGAAGACTCTGAGGGCCCCCCATGTGGTCCTTGAAGGCACCTTGGTGTCCACGGGCACCGCGTTGGTGACCCCTGGTCTATGTCATATTATTAGTCATATTATGTGATTTAAAAATGGGATAAAATATCATAAAAAAAACACATCAACTCTACAAATCAATACAGAGCGGGTTTATATATAGTGATCGTTTTGGTAAAAGCTAGAGAATGGATCGGAAACATGCCTTATACGCTATTATCTCATTTGCAATGGGATGCGAAGTGACCTTTTTTAATGTAGTCTAGTAAAATAAATTAATAATTAAATAGGAAACGCGGGGCAACATGAATGGAGCGAGGTGTTACGTTCACAGCTGGGTAACAGAGCGATAATTTAACAGCCAGGTAATTAAAACAATACACATGTATCGGGGACATCATTAAATCAAACGCAGTGTGTCTCAGGGCCCTGGCAGAATTACATGACAAACTGCAGAAAACACGTTCTCCTGAAAATGTGAGCGAGTTTGGAGCGATTTCGCTGGAGCAGCAGGAAACTTAAGGTTAACGCAGAGTGGATTTTGAGCGGAGCGTCCTGGCGTAACTTTGACCTGTGGAGCGAATGAGCAAACTTCTTGAGCTGGAAGCGGGAGTTGGCGCTCCGCTCTGTTTACATGCTCTGCTGGTGACAGCATCAGGGTTTGGGCCTGCTTGTCTTCAGCAGGGAAGATGGTTGAGACTGATGGGAAGGTGGATGGAGTCACATACAGAACCACTCTGAAGGAAAACCCGTTGGAGTCTGCAAAAGACCTGAGACTAGGATGGAGATTTATCTTCCAACAAGACCATGATCCAAAACATGAAGCAAAATCCACAATGATTCACAAATAAACCTATCCAGGTGTTAGAATGGCCTAGTCAAAGTTTATCCCTGAATCTAATGGAGAATCTGTGGAAAGACCTGAAAACTGCTGTTCACGAACACCCTCCAGTAGTTTTGTACACCCAAATGTTCAGTTTTTTATTTGTTAAAGTTTTAAATGTGTAATAAATTTGATTCCACTCCATGATCGTGTCCCACTTGTTGTTGATTCTTCACAATAAAATCTTATATCTTTATGTTTGAAGCCTAAAATGTGGCAAAAGTTCAAAAAAGTTCAAGGTGGCAAATACTTTCGCAAAGCATAGGTGTTTAAAAAACAAACAAACTTCAGAATAACTGAGTCAAAGTCTTGTTGTTTCAGATTTAAGCCTGTTTCGTAGTAACAATGACTCAGGTAATTTGCAGCAGCATAATTCGGAAATGGAACCGTTACCCAGAATAATGGTAGACAAGACTCTACTAAAAAGATAAAAAATTTTCCATCTAGGATTAAAAACCTTCTTTGTTCTAAATTCCAAACATTTACAGTATTTAGGAATGTTAGTTTACCAAAAGCATCTAATCTAAAAAATAAATCAATAGATTAATCGATAACTGCAGCCCTAATCTAATTAATTTAAGGAATTAATCAAACCTGACTTGCGATTTCATTGAACTGGGATGTTTTTCTAGCCGTCCTCATTTTGTACAGTGGATATGACAAACAGGTTCTGTATTAGATCCCATTTATTCCAGGGTGTGAGCAGATGTCATAATTACTAATTAAACTTTTCTATAGATGTTACCTAACTTAAAATAAAAGCTAAACAACAATGTCAGATTTATTCGATAGGAATGGTTAGAGGTTAGAATATTGCTTCTCCTCTCTACTGCAAGGAAAAATTCATTAATTCAAATGAAACTTTGAATTTTAAAAATTTGCATGTAATTTGGTGCAAACCAATCATTTGCTTTAAAGGGAGGGGCACAGTAACAGAAGACTGCCACTATGAGGAGGTGTCACCAGAAGCAATGTTTGTTCAGAGAGAAAGAGAGAAGACTTACAGGCGTTTGATTCCTGATTCAGGCTGGGCTGCTGATCTGGAGCGGGACCCCAGTTCAGGAGACGGGGATGGAGACGGAGTTGTAGCATCATCCTCTATTTCATCACTGTAAAAAGACGCAATTATTACCGTCCAAGAAACACAAAATGTGTAAAATGCAGGAGAACATTTATTATTTTACTTAATGCAACAATAAAGTGTGTAAAACTGGCTCCAGTATTTTTTTTTTCTTTTCCCAAGGGGACACAGAACAAAATCATAAAAAAAACTGGAAACTTAGTTTAGTGTTTATATCAAAACACCCAAAAAGTCTGATCCAACAGATAAAACTGCAATCCTATCAGAATTAGGGCTGAAACAATTAATCGGATTAATCATGATTAATAGATTATTGGAATCACTGTCAACTAATTTAATAATCGATTGATCGTTAAATGGGAGAATAGAGACTCTTAAACATCCCTTTAGCTGGCAGAGCGACACATTTAGACCAGATTGCAGAAAAATATATACAAATTAAGCATTTAAGATAAAAAAAAATGTTTTTCATCTGTCAATATGCTCTATCCTGAATTCCTCAAATGGAAAGGTTTTAGTTACACCTTGTTTAAATTAAAATTGTTTTAAAGAAACCTTTTTCTATCTAATTATTAATCGAAAAAACAATCTACAGATTAATTGATTTGCAAAATAATCGTTAATTGCAGCCCTGATCTTAATACTATGGAACCCAAAAACTGACGTGGGGGAAGAAAAAAATAATACTAGAACGTGTTCAGGAAATACTTATCTGTGTGCAAACTTGTTCTCACGATGTACTCAAGTATATGGTGCACAAAATACTAAAGCCTAATCCTCCTAAAGCGCACCTTCTATAACAGAGGAACAAACCAACATGACAAGGATGTCTGATGGAGTTTTATTTTAGCCATCGGACAAACTCTAGAGATTCTGATCAGCCTGGCTTTGCAAGGATTTCTCATTAGTGAGGAATTTAAATAGAATATTGATGGCCAGGCATGAATGATGACCAAATGTACTGATGTTTGAAGGACTGTGCTGCTGCTGTCCGGTTAGTGTTTGTCTCGAACTCTTCAAGTTTCAGCACTGCAAAAACGATCTGGAAATAAGTAAAGATTTCTTAAATTAAGTTTATTTCCCCTCAATTTGAGCAGGTAAATAAGATTATTAGCCAACAGAATGAGTAGTTTTGCTCTTAAAATAAGATAATTAGATAATATTCACTTGAAATAAGACAATGTGATTGTTTTTTTTTTCTTATTTTAAATGTAAACTGTCTTATTCTACAGCAAAGTGTCTCACTTACCACATAAATTCAAGAAAAAATGCACTTATTTTAACTAAAAGAAAAAACGACTTATTTAGATTTAGATTTTTTGCAGTGAGCTCAAGGTCCGATTGAAGGAGGAAATAATGCAAACATGTGGATGTGATCAGTGAAGAGTGATCCAATTAAGCAGTAAATAAGTGTTTTAATTACTTGTCTCATAGTACTATGCGCATCTGAAAGGCAGCTGTAAATTATAACAGTGTGGCAGATATGATCTATATGTGGAGAAGATGGCGCTGCAGGTACCAGATCTGCTCGGTGCTCCGCCCCTTCTTCATGACGTCATCGTATGGCAACTCCACTCAGACAAACTGTATTGCACCCGTTTCTTAAGGATCAAATTTTTTGGAGTTTCAACATAGTATGACCTATATTTGCTATTATTTTATATTTCATTGGCGATCTAAAGAAGCCAAAAGTAGAAAACAATCAGTCAGTCTTGAAAGAAAGTTCTGCGTTCTAAGACTAAGCTCAGCCATTTAACAAGGTGACACAAAAAGTCTCAGTTTATTTTTATTAAGATCTGAGGGGAGAGGAGGACAAATGGACCCTCAAAAAAACCCCAGTTATATTAAAATGAATGGTTGTTGTTGCTACAAATTAAAAAGTAGTGTAGCTTAATATGGCTAACTGACCGAGCTAAAGAAAGCTAACCTGTTTGCTACCAAACCAAAGCGCTACCCATCTCTCCCCCTTTATATCATGGTCTAACAGCTACTTTGTTCACCATAAAGATTTTTTTAGTTTTGTTATCGATCAGGTAGAAACTGCATCGGTCATTAGACGCGCTAACGGACGCTGCGTGATGTTTTTATCATTGTCTGAGCAACCGCTGTGTTTTATATGATGTGGCAACGTTCAGCCAATCATGTAGCATAACGCCCCTGGCATATGCAGGACCCGAGCAGATCAGTACCTACACCGGAAGAGGAGAAGAAAAGAGAAAGGACTCTTTAATGTAAAGGTTTAAAATGACAGAGGAAAAGAAGGAATCTGTGCACACAAGTATTTCCTGTACCATCTTATTCCATTTGCATATTGTCCTACCTGTTAAAATCAAGGGAAAACACACTTAAGATTAAACTAGATTTCTAATTTTGCTGTGTATGTTTTCAGTAAAGGGGCTAGGGGCCCCCTGTTGGCCCCTGTATAGAAGCACTCACGTTGAAGACCTTCATGAATTGAGGATTCATTTGTTTTTGTTACATTTTCAACACTTTATGGAGAAAATAATCTTGTAAACTCTTAATGCGTGACTCCCTCTCATATCGTCCTTTTTTTTTGGATCATAGCATTATTTTACCCTCTTTCAAGTATTTGGAGTTTAAAATCCTGGACGAGCCCCCAAATGTTTCAACCATGAGTGTTTATGTCCAAACAGAAGCAATGAGGGTGAGTTAAAGGTCGGCTGTAAAACAAATTTAAAAAACTCACAAAATGATATGAACTAAACCGAAGTCTTGAAGAAAGGTGCCTGTTCAAACCAATCTATGCAACGCAAGATGGCCGTGATTCTCAAGTAGCTGCTTAAAATTAACCAGTATGAAGGCCAGAGGAGCTGTTAAAAGGGAGCGGCTGCTTTAAATCTAAGGGGTTAACCAGGAAAGACGGTCTGAAATTCTCTAGAACTCACTATCTACCTCTTGTAGTATGCCAGCTCCTCCTGTAGCAGGAACACTTTGGCCTTCAGCTCATTCCTCTCATGCAGGACGTCCCTTAGCTCCTGCAGTGTGAAGCGGGGCCTGTTGGGATCCTTCGGGTCCAGAACGCCCGGCTCCTCCTCGCACATCGCCTCCTGCCGAGACAACAGCGCATCAAACCAGAGTGAACTGAACCGGGACAGGACGAAAGAAAAAGAGAGCGGGTAAGAGGCGAGGATACCTTGGTGAAATATTGGAACACACCAGGCATGTCCTCATCACACATCGCCTCCTGGTGGCATATGTTGAACTTCAAGTCAGAAATGAACCCTTTTTTTTTTTCTTCCCTAAACATGTAATTAGTTTACCTGGTTCTCCTTTATCTAAAACTTATTATGAGTTTTACTTTTCAGTCAGCAAACCAGAAACAACCCGGGTTAAAGAACAACAATCCAAACTCATGCAGCTCACAAAAGGCTATGTTATGCTCGCCATGTTTCAGCTGGAACACAGCGTTTGAGGTATTTATGCAGCTTTTCCCCCAGTATTCTGATAAAATCTAGGGGGATGTAAGCGACATATCACAAGCTTATGGTTGGAAAACGCAGCCGTTTCCAACATTTCAAAGCCTCTTTGCTTTAGTCATTTATTTCCAAGCGCTGTTTCACCTGCTGTCGATCGTAGTTTATATTTATGGTCCAAACCCTTTCTATAGAGGTTTACCTTGCAAACACTAGACCAGTAGGAGGCGTCACTCATCCAAAATGTTTTCTTCAAGGAACTATTCACGTAGGTACAATCTTTACTTGGAAAAATCAGGCCTAGCGGACGCATTGAGGATAAACCAGGCTTTAGCTGCTCCTTCAAATAAGTTTGAAAACAAAAGCATCCGAGACGAATAGGCCTGAAACAATTCATCAGATTAATCATGATTAATCGATTATTGACATAATCGTCAAATAATTTAGTAATCGATTCATCGTTAACTGGAGTATAGAGACTCTAAATCGTATCTTTAACTGACAGAGCAACCCACTTAGAGCAGTAATTATACCAAAACTGTTACAAAATATACAAACAGTTTGCATTTAAAATAAAAAACTTTTTCATCCGTCACTATGCTCTATCCAGAACTCCTCAAGTGGAAAAGTTTTATTTTCACCAGGATTGATTTTGAAATAAGTCTTCTTTAAGGAACCTTTAGCTATCTGAATATTAACCGATTAATCACAAGAATAATCAACAGATTAAATCGATTTGCAAAATTATGGTTAGTTGCAGGTCTAGAAACCAACAAAATCACACTTTTTAAATGATCGATATTTAAACTATTTTCAGTGATAAGTTTTTGATTTTAAAATAATATCTTCTGTTGACCAATGTATGATCAAATAAACAGGTCAATACTCAAACCATAAAACAAAAGACTTCTGAATTTGGTCTAGATTGATTGGTCTAAATTACTATTTTAAATATAATAAGTCAATTTGATCGTTTTTTAAGGTTCTTTTTAAGCAAATGTTTTTCAGTGTTCCTGATAAATGGTCATTAAGGGAAAACAGAGCCAATGTCACTTTGATTTTAAAGCTGTTAAGGTACAGCACCCTGTACCAAACTGGTGGATGCAGGTTTTGTTCATTTAGCTGTTTGTTTCATTGAGTTTTTGCCAAAATGAAATGATGCATGAGTGAATCCTCTCCTCTACTTGGTGCAGCACGCTTACTATCCTGTTTCTTACAACTTGTAACAACAACGGCACATTCGTTAGCCGAGCTAGACAGAGGAAGCGCCGCCATGGTCCAGTTTGACTAACCGAACCCGCCCTAATCCGTTAGGAGGTCCACCGACTCAGTGATATTTAACCCACGACCAGAGCCGTTAACACATGGAGGTCAGCTGCACCCTGACCCTTCATCCGTTTGAGCTTCTTTCTCCTTTTTCTCTATATTCACGTTTAGTCATAGTTTTAGTTTACAAAAAAGACTAACATCAAAGATTACTTATTATCATTTCATCTTAATTATTAAATATGGCCTAATATTATTTATGAATTAAGAAGTTCATCACATATGTCCGCCCATACCTGTTAATTTTCATCTAATTAATTTTCTCTCACAAAAGAGCATTTTCCGTGTTTACTCATCGTATAAATTTGATTCATTTATTTATGAATTTATTATCCAGGCGATCTGACCAAAAGAGGTTTAGTTTCTGTGATGAGCAGGAGTGAAATGAAAGGGGAGCCATTTCTGTTAAACGCTGCTATTAAAACTCAGAAGGTGTCACTTTAGATGTAAACTTTTGTTTTTTTTCTCCATTAGTTTTTGACACTTCTCAATGAAAATACAAAAAAAAATAAAAAATACAGCAGCAGGATTTAATTAAGATGCATTTTCTTTATCTAGGAGTTCTCTTTCTCATTCAAACAATATGCCAAAAAACAAACAAAAAAACTTTAGTAAAGTTGTCAATAAAACACAAGATGTTTAATATTTGAGGGTTTTTTCCCCACATACACTAGTGTCCGGGAGGAAAACTGAACCATAAATTGAGTACACACCACATCTAACCCTATTTTTCAATAATGCCATATTATTAAAACGAAGAGTCGGGTAAATCAGGCCTCCTGGTGCAGGAGAAACTTCACTCTCCACCTCTGGTGGTGTTGTGCAGCCAGATGCTCCGTTTGGGCGGTTGCTCTTAGATTTGCCATGCAAACACACCGATGGCAGAGTTGAGCTCTTTCAGAGTAATTAAAGAGGTGTGTAATGTCGGCAGACGTCCAAAACGTCTGAGCTCATTACTTAACCAAAGGTGTTGTCTCACATTGCATAATCGTGTTATGACTGGGAGCCAGCTACGCTGCTTCCCACTGTAGCGCCGTTTAATGCAGATCTTTTTTTAGAGTTTCTTAGTGATGTTTGTTGTTACTGAAATCCCAGTTTGTATATGATTTTTGGCTCCTTTAAGGACTGTTTTAAACAGGCATTTCACTTATTCACATGCAGAATTAGACATGAGTCGGGTGTAAACTTCAGTGCAGTGTTTTCCAGCTGGAACAACAGTTAAGGAGCTTTTAACCGCTAAACGTTTGCTCACCGATAGATTTATGCTTTTTAACTGGTAATTGGTGCTTTCTTGCTATGTTTGAACTGTATTCTTGGTGTTTCCTTTGCTTCTTTAAAAAGAACAAGTCAATAATACCAACTGGATATAAATGAGGAGATCAAAGATCAAACTTTAGATATAATTTAACACTAAAGATCTATTTTTTTTATCTGTTGCCACCTTTGAAAAAGCTTTGATATCTTGAACTACTGTCAACCAAACTTTTTTGTTTTATTTCCATTTTAGACAGAAGTGTTTATCAGCATTGGGAAAGAACAGTGATCATGAAGAAATCCCTAATTGTTTATTATAACTTCACCATCTAATGCTTTCTCTGCTATTATATCAACCTTATAATGCAGGATTAATGATTAATCTCTTGAAATAGATTTTACAATCTGTTTGGGGGGTGGGACTGTACATAAAGAATAAGAACAGATCATTTTTAGTCTTATTAGGGAAGCACAGATGTGAAAATCTGAGCAGGTAATGATTACAGATTGAGCTGATGCTGATACCAATTATATGGACATCATTCTAACCGATCATTGATAAATGCTGTCCATATTTTTGGGCAGGTTCCTAAGGCTGATATTGCTTCTCTTCCTCCATTTACAAAACGGCAGAATGATTACCATGTGTTGGCATCAGACGATACCAACACAATAAAAAAAAGAAAAAAAAGAAGCTAATATCGTCCAAAAATATTGGCCCAATTTTACTAATCTGCTCATAAGTGACCAACACTGGCTGATACTGATACTAATGCAGAATTTTAGGACTGGGCTGTTATTCTATTGTTTATTAACATTTTCCTGTCAGGAGAAGATTTTTTATTTATCGTCACAACAATTTAAACAGCCCAAAAAAATGGCTAATTCGTCCAAACAGTTTTTACTTTCTTGTCCACTATTTTTCCAGACAGTATAATTATAAAATGTCAAAAAATATGAGCGAATGCATTTACTGTGTAGAGTTTAATGATAAAAATCACAGTTCCATATCTATTTCCATTATGTTAGATAGCTATGTATTTAAAGAGCAGCTGTTTTTTACTGTGGGGCTGATATTGCTCAACCTGACTCCGCCAGATGGATTTGCTCCGTATATCCATCTGGAAACCTTCCGTTGAAGTAATTTTGGGAAGGGGCGAAAATACTGGTTAGCTGATTGACCTATGTTGGTGATAGACGGGCCGAATAAACCAATCAGATCAACGAAAGCATATGACGTACTAACAGAGCGACGACGAAGAGGAGCCAATTGATAGATCAAACTCTTGCCGAAACCAGTCGTGAGAAGAGCAAAAACATCTTTTCCTCTGAGAAAAGCCTCCAGAGCAGTGTTTTGCTCTTCTTTCAGTGAAGAAATACTCTGTAATCCCGATAAAACTTGCTCGATAGCCACGCTAACGCTAGTTTCATCGGCTGAAGCCGCAATGTTCTTTAGACTGAACTGTCGCGCTTCTCGTTGCGTCACACCTCAACCCGCCTCAAAGCCAACGCTGATTGGACGTTCGTTTGGTGAACGGCTCCAAATTTTCTTTAACGGAGAGTCTCCAGACTGATTAGTGAGTGAAACCTTGAAAGCTCGCGAGATCAGGATGGTCTCACGAGGCTATATATTGCTGTGTTTCACAGTCACAGCCAAGATTTACTTAAAAAGAAACAACAACAAAAAAACAAAGAAGGTTCTTCTATTATCATCACAGTATTATTACGAAATTATATTTTTATATAAATTTTTTAAACACTATTCCACATCCAAACTTTCCTGATATAAATGAGTTTTCTTTACAAATCAAGTCATAGTTTAGATGTCCCACTGTATCTATATAACTGATGTCATTTCTATCCAGACACAGATTTACTGCCTGCTGGGAGTTTCTCAGGTTGCTGCATAAACAACTATGATATTTTACTGCACTGGACGTTCATACAAAAAAATAAATACTTGTTTTCTTAAGTTAATTAGTGCCTTTTAATTACTTTTAAGAATATAAATTTATCAATTTTGGCTATTTTGTCTTGTTCTTTAAAAATTATTTAAAAAAAAGAACAACCTAAAAGCAATTTCAGATAAAAAAGTTGTCCAAATGTTTAAGTTTGTAAGAAAGAAAAACAAACAGAGGCTATACTATCAAATATTTCTTGTTTGTTCGGGTTTTTTAAGAGTCTTAAGTCTGTTTGAGTATAATTTCAAATAAACTATTTCATATATGGAGGGAATTCTGCTCCATTACTGGAAGCAGAGAATGTTTTGAAAATGGAAATTTAATGGAAATGGACATTTTATTTAAAAGAATTAATTCAGAAATGACATGCCTTTTTCTTAATTAAAGAAAAGGTTTGGAGAGTCATTGTCATTTTCACTGATTTTACATTTTCTACACCCTAAGGGGGTATAAATAAATTTCTGCCTGACAAAAACACACAAAAGTAAATAACTTATAGCCTCAAAGCTATTAGATTTAAGAAGAAACTTTTGGTACGTCTGTAAAGGTAAGATGTCATAGAATGGTTTTCTGGTGTCAGCACCATTGTAGCTTTGACCCTGCCTGAAATATAAGGGACAAAATACAAAATATTTTGCATTTTTTGAACCTCGCCAAAATTTTCTTTGAAATAAACATTGCAAAACACTACCAAAATATTATTTATAGCACAAAAAAGTAGAACAGACTTTTAAATCTAAATGTTGTGTAAAAAACATACCAAATTTGGACTCAATCAGATGAATCATATTTATTTTAGAATGGTATTAGTGAGAAATTTCTTAGGCGGAGAGGCCATTTTGGCACATTTATCCATAAATGTCACCAAACTGTGCCAAATATGTTTTTTACATCAATACTGGGGGTTTGGTAAAATTACGAGGTCATGTAGCAGCTGGACCCGCCGGTGGGTCCGTAGGGTTCAAGGGGTTAACTAATTTTTCTTTTTTTCTTCGATTTACATATTTAATATTTCCCCATGTTATTCTTCCAAATTTCTTTTTTTCAGATTGAGTTTTATGAATCGCGTTCTTTTTAAACGGTGTCTCAAACTTCACATTCTCTTCCCTTCATGTCCGATACAAACGTCCACTCATGACCAATAAAAATGTTGTTGCTAATATCCAGCAGACCAATAGAAATACGTCTTTGCTCGATCACAGGAGAGCCCGCCCACAGAAGTTAAGATAATGCGATCTATAAAAAAACTATTTGAAAGAATGAAGATCTTTTCAACTTAATCTAAAAGAGAGAAATAAAGAAATCAGTTTGAATATATACAATCTGTAAAATAAAGTTTGAACAAAAATTTAATGATCATAATTAGAAAAAAGGATATTTCTAAAATCCCATCCCTTCCTAAACTCCTGCCTTTATGAACTTGTTCCTGTTGGGCCTACGAAGCAGTTTTCTGGGGTTTGATGATCACGATGCTCTGAGAGAACAACTTAAAGAGGCTAAGCTCTGACGCTGATCTATATTTAGAGGTATCATCAGTGCTGTCATCTAAAAAAGTCTCACCCAGTTGGCAGGAGAGGAGGGAAAAACAACTTCCCTCTGATGCTTGTTAGTTTTCCAAACTGCCATGCAGAGACACTCAGTGCCACACCGTTAGTCCAGCTGCTGTTCAGCTTCGGGCCAAAAAGCCGAACAGACAGATTTGTTCAAACCACCCCGCATTACCCAAAGCAACGCAGCTTCGTCCTCAGCCTCCTCATCTTCACGTCCTTCTGAAGCGAGGGAGCTAGCGAGATGCTGCTGAGGTGGATCAAACCCACCCAGCACCAGCTGGTAGGCGTCCCGTCCGTCTGACCCACCCTCAGCACTCAAATCCACTCTGGCTCTTTTATCAGGCTGGTGGAGTAAAGGACACTTTATTATTTCCTTACTGAGTTCTCTCAATCAGCCTCTGGGCTGATTTCTGTGCTTCGCTCCCAGTGTAGTGTGGAACGCTTCAGCAGAACATTTCCGCCTTTTATTAAATGTTATCCTTTATAACGATTACTGCTGTTTCACAAATGTATTGGGTCAACATGAAGAGAGATTAAAAACGATATATTTCTCAGAGGCTCCACTGGAAAAATGATCTAGAAATAAGTAAAAAAAAATTCTTAAATTAAGGGTATTTTCCTTTGCAAATGGAATGAGTAGTTTTACTTTTAAAATAAGATAATTAGATATCATCTGTTGAAATAAGACAATGCAATTATGTTTTCTTATCTTAAATGTAAATTGTCTCATTCCATGGGAAAAATTGTCTTTTACCTCCTCAATCCAAGCATAAATCCACCTATTTTAAGAAAAAAATGACTTATCCCAGATTTAGATTTTTTCAAGAGTATAAAAGGTTTTAATTTCAAGCTTTTGCAGGTAAAATATGTGATAGAGAATATGTTTAAGGAAAAAAATTAGATTTCTTAGGTTATATTCGTCTAGCCTGGGTGCCAGTCCGAACTTAGTCCCGCCCACAAGGTTTGAGGTCGGGGAAGTTCGGTCTGGCTCTGCTCCATAGTAGCGCGAGTATTAAAGCCCACTGTCAGGCGATCCAATCAAATTGTCAGGGCGGGCTTTATACGATGATGGACAGATGATCAAGAGTAACGTTATCAACCACGTGACCAATGCGCGCTTGGGTGACAACAATAATGGCTGCCGCTGGAGAGTTTGGGTGAGTAGATTCTGCTATTAGGTCTGTTCTAGAAGATATCGACAGCAAATTAATTTTAAAAGAGGAACAGAGAAACGCCATCAAGTCTCATCTTCTTATTCTAGGCGTGAAACTGCACGCTTGGATTTTTGTGGACAACAACTATGCCTCGCTTAAGATACGTCACGCACTCCGTTGCTCTTATTGGTTGTAGGTCTATCCAATTGAGTGCAGAGGCATTTTTTTCCTGGTTCGTTCAAAACACGCCCCATAATCACAGCTCTATGGAGCAGTATCAGACTCATATTCTGACTAGAATTGAGTCGGACTACGTCAGGCTAATATTCGTCCATATTAAAATGGTAAATTTAAAGGAGATCATTTCCTAAAAAATTATTCTGTGCATCGTTCACTGAGCTGCCTCACCTCTGCTGGTGACGGGGGGTGAGGCACCAGGAGTTCCTCTGGGTTCTGCGCGGTCCGCTCTCCTTGAAGCCGCTCCCGCAGGCGGGACACCTCCTGCCGCAGGGCTCCCACCTCCTGCGCCTGCGTCTGGGCGCCGGCCTCCAGCTCCACCTTCTGCCCGATCAGAGCCTTCCCCTGAGCCTCCACCACCGAGATCTTATGGCGCAGGTCATGGTTGATTTTCATGAGGCGGGACTGCTGCTGCTGGAGCTGCACAACGAGAAAAAAAAAAGGGAAAAAGTGAGTGGCAGGTCCTTCACAGAGTCCTTCTGCTAGAAGTTGGACAAAAAAATTTCAAGCCAAAGCGACAATGAGACACTTTCCTGATGTCATCTTGAACCCATTTGTCCTACAACCCATAAAAAAGAGATCTATCTATCCATCTATTCTGTCGCTTGAATTTCCCCATCGTTCATACACCAGAACTATGATCCAGGACTTTAAAAGCCACACCATCTTCCTTAGTCCCGTCTTTACGTATATTAAATACAATAAAATCATAGCATGAAGGCAGCATATGTTGCTCTACAACCAATTAAGAATCCGCGGGGTCCAAATAAAGAAAATCAACAACCAGTAAAGGTCCGGAGACATTTCTTTAATATAATCTTTAGAAAGAAGTTACTTTAAACAGAATTTAACACTGAAATAAAAGGTTTTTATGCATTGAATTTTTAAATACAAATATAAAAAATAGAATGTTTTTCCATTTTAAAATCTAAATTCTTCTTGAAGTAGAGAACTACGATTGTTCAGTTTGGTATACAGACAATTTCCTGATTCACATATTTTCTAAAACACCTGAACTGAACGGTTTTTTTATGGCTTAATGAGAGCAATGGGCTTTAGGCTGCCCTGCAAACTGGAAAAATGATCTAGAAATAAGTAAACATTTCTTAAATGAGGTGTATTAACTCTTACTTTGAGTAGGTAAATAAGGTAGTTTGCCAATGGAATGAGTATTTTTACTCTTAAAATAAGATAAATAAATAACATGCACTTGAAATGAGACAATGTAATCGTGTTTTCTTATTTTAAATGTAAATTGTCTTGTTCCATTAGCAATGTGTCCCTTTTACCTCCTCAATCCAAGAACAAATTTGCTTATTGTAAGAAAAAATGACTTATCTAGATTTCAATTTTTTTCCTGTGTTTAACCTGGGTGAGACTAAGCCATTCTAAAGCACATATCAAGGAGCTCATTTTGAGCCTTGATCAATATCTATTTCTGATTATGTTCATGGTGGAGAATCCTGCTTCACAGCAGATTAAAAGCATCTGGGGAACTTCGTTGGTGCAGACTGAGCATTTGCATAATCTAACAAAAGCTAAGGCAGATTTATACTCAGGAATTAGGTCGTCTGCGTGTGCGTCGCAGTTAACGCAGATATGGCCCCACCCCTTCCGCAGACACTCTGCTGCACCTCTCTGAAACTGTAGGTGATTGGTACTTGGTACTTTTTCTGCAATGAATATGCAATATGGGGCGTTTACACGCAAAAGTGCGTCTTGTGGGAGGAGAACATGTAAATATATTAATTTAGCACTCGCAAAGTGATTTTTTCAAACCTGAAAGCAATTTTGCTAACGGTATCTGACTCTATATTTAACACGTTTCAAAAGAAGGTGCAAATGGTCTGTATGCGTAATTGCGCACACATGGCAGCGGTTATTGTTGCAAGAAGGAGACATCGAAATGAAGCAAGGAGACGAAGAGAACACATTTTTTCACTCCGTGTGAATATTTTTGGAATGAACGAGGAAACGATCATCAAAACATATCGTTTATCCAGCATTGCCATTTTGGAGCTGTTGGGGGAACTCCGAATGGATTTGGAGCCAGCCACAAGGAGGACCCACGCAATACCAGATATCACAAAACTCCTTGCAACATTGCACTTTTTTGCATCTGGGATCTCCCAATCTCGTTTTTCAGAAGTGCTGTCGGACGTTCTAAATGCCATGTCGCCCTGACGCCCTACCGGAGAACCCCGACCTCCTCCTTGCGCCTGTGGAGCAACATGCCAATGCTGCAGGGATGCGTAGGCACAGTCATCTTATCCACAGTCACTTCTTGTGAGCCATTTGGTATGTGCATTTTTCTACAGGCCAAAACAAAAAACCTGTTTTTTTGTTTTGTTTTGTTTTTTACTGCAGTGAAGTAGAAATTCAGCCACATACCACCATAGGGAATAAAGGTTGCCAAAGTTTATATATATATATATATATATATATATATTTTTTTTTTTTTTTTTTTTTTTTTTTTTTTTTTTTTTTGGAGGGGGTGTCACTGTAAGATTTAAATTTCTTAATGCACTAGTTTGCACAAACTACAAACTACTTTGCTGCAAACCACAAAACGCGCAAAACCATCATTTAAATAGGGCGTCAGTTTTGCACCTGCCACCAGTTACGCAATCACTCTTGTTAAATCACCCGCAAACCATGGTTCAGCCCCTCGCGCAAAATTCCAGTTTGCGAGCGCAAATTACTGCACGCAAAATTGGATCTTGATAAATCCGGCCCTAAGTGTATTTCCTGTTTGGTACCTTACCAACTTGTTTGGTTTGTGTGACCGCCATTGTGGAAAATGACTCGTGAAGATGGGCCCGCTAGAAGAGCGAGGTGCGTGAGAACGGTGGGACCCTTTTCCCACCTAGATTCCCGCTCTATTTCGCCCTCATGTCCCTCCGTTGTCGCACAAAGTTGTCCCCACTTCCTCCCCGCCTCGGCGCCATATCTAGACCCACAACTACTTTCTGATTGTCCGTCTTGCGTTTTGGCGTGGAGTAATATAACGCAGACCACACTTCAAAATTGGGCATAAATCAAAAATGTCTGCGACAAGCTCACTGCGACACACTGCTGCGGGACGATAACCAGCCCTTTAGTCATGCCATGGTACATATGTGTTGTTAGAAGGTGCATGAAAGCTGCAACAGACAATCTACAGCATTTTTTGTTTTTTATTTCAGAACAAACCAGCTGGAGCCAGTTATGAATGACAAAGTTAAATGTGTACTTGGTTGATGTCAGAAAGCTATTGCACATGTAAGTGTCGCTAAAAGCATGCTTGGTGTGAGGGATTACCCTCAAGTCAATGAGTTGATGCAATCAACTGGTTTTTATTTGATAGAACACTTTGAACCAATCTGACTGGATGATCTGATTGAATTATCTCTTTAAAGTGCTTTGAGATAATATGTGTTGTGAATTGGTGCTATATAAATAAACTGAATTGAATATTAACCAATCAAATGCAAGGTAGAATTAGAACAAGCAACTTTTTTCTATTATTTTTTCTTTCAATGTCCAAAAAATTTCTTTTTACTAAAATCAGTGCTAGCAACATTAGCATTTCCTCATTACAAACAAAGATTACAGTGTGCGAGTTCAGGTTCATCGTTTTCTTAGTAAATTAGTTTTTTATGCGATGCTTATATTTCTAATACAGTTCCTGCATTTTTGTATTTATAAAGCATCTTTTCTGTGCATTTGATGTTTGCTGCACAAACTTGCACTGCTTGGAGATCAGATCTGTTGGCTTTACATTAGAATCTTGATTATTGAATGAAATGATTCACTTTCACCCACTTTTATGCAGCAAACTGCTCCTCCTGCTGAACAAGACAGGATGAGGCCTTACTGCTTCTATGTCCTCGTTTTTCAGCGTCAGCTCCCGATCCTTGGCTCGGATCTCGTCCCTCTGTTTGTCCACCACTTCCTTCAACTTCATCATCACCTGCTTCTCTCTCTCCGTCATACCTGGACACCACAATCAGAGCAGCAGTGTTGGATTGCATGCACAAAAATGATCTCATTTATTTTTACACTTTGTTTTAATGCTGAGTGTCTGCTGGCAGAGAGAGGCTGTGATGTGGAGGCTGAATGTGTGTGAGAGCCCAGCAGGTGTTCCTTTGGACTGAGGCTGGTCTGTCCAGCCGTGCGCTGGGATCACTGCGGCCTCTGTGTGGAACAGCGAAGAGGCGAGAGAAGACGGCCTCGCTGTCGGAGACAGAGAAGGCCTTCTTTGTGTGTCTGTGCGTTGTGAAACAAGCTGATGAGTAAAAACTGAGGGATGTGAAAACTAGGAAACGCTTTTTGACTTTTTCGTAAATCAAACATATGGTGTAAAATTTTACATCAAACTCCTACTAACAGGCAAAGGTTTATGGAATTTTTTTTTATTTTTTTTAAATTATGGTCGGTTTTCCTGCTGAGATGTAAATTTAACTGACACCCTGTAAATTTTCTAACAGGTTTAAGGTCGGCCATTTAGCAAAAGTCCTTCTGTTAAACTTCCAGGAGCAGTTTTGACTTTTATTTGGGAACTTCGTATAGTAGAAACACCAGAATACGTCCAAATTTGAACCTTCTGAGCCAAACTACCACCCAGAAAGAACCACAGCTCAACCCCATCATTAACTGGAATTGCATTCCGAAATAGGGATGTACGATATTGGGATTTTGGCCGATATCCGATATGCCGATATTTTAAAACTCATGTAGCCGATACCCGATACCGATATTAAAGCTGGACAAAATTAATTAGTCATTGAAAATAGCAGTTTTGTTATCCATTTCTGAAACTTTGAAAAATAATATACTCAAATATATTTTCATATGCTGATATCAAATAGATTTTTAAAAACGCGGTATCGACCTATTTTACTTTAATAATCTTGTGAAATTTCATCTTTCTGTTACAAACTCTCGTGATATTTTGCAAATTCTGGTGAGATTTTGTTAGTAAAATAGATCGATACCACGTCAATATATCAACACATCAAAATCTGGCTAAATTTTGTGAATTTTCGGGGGATTTCGTAGCATAACGATGACATATAGCAATATTTCATTAGTAAAAGAGATTGATATGGTGTTTTTAAATGGCAATATATCAGCATATGAAGATATTGTGATATTTTAATGTATCAATATTTTTTCCCTCGTCTTTAGAAGTTTTTAAGTCTGTAAAAAAGAAGTTTTTGAGGAAGAAGAAGAAGTAGTATTTTTTATTTTTTAGACTTTAGAAACTCAGAAGCTGATCAAATATCGGGTTAAATATCGGTGGGGTGGCCGATGTCCGATATTCAGTTTTAAGGCCGATACCGATAGGGGGCCGATTATATCGTGCATCCCTATTCTGAAACAAAATAACAGTGAAAATGAGGAGACGACCGATTGATTGGCTGACTAATCGATCTACCCTGCTTTCCTTAATGCTGGAAGATCAGAGATCGGCCGATGCTTGGACGTGAAAACGGTCTTATCTACTAATCATATCTAACTCTGCAAAGGTTTCTTTATCCGCTACTGTCTAAACGTTTTATTTCTATTTAAGAGCATCGTCTCTCACAATTAAAACAAGTTTTTTTTTATGGTTTTAAGGGTATTCTTTAAGGTTTTTCATTAAAATATACATATGAATAATAATGAATTTTATTTATCATGCACTTTACATTTGATTTCAAATCTCAAAGTGCTACAAAACAAGTTTAAAAGACCATAACATTAAAAACAGAGTAAAAAGACAGTCATTAAAATCAATACATTAAAAGGCATACGTAGCCTATTAAAAAAAAAAAAAATCTAAAATCAACAATTGTAGGAATTTCTAAAAAGGAAAGTTTTTAGTCCTTTCTTAAAACAATCCACCGTCTGTGGGGCCCTAAGGTGGTCTGGGAGGGCATTCCACAGACGGGGAGCTGCGGCTTCGAAGGCCCTGTCGCCCATTGTTTTTAGCCGTGTCCTGGGTGGGGCCAGACGGTGCTGTTGGCCTGACCGGGTCCGGGAAGAGGTGTGTGGTGTGAGCAGCTCAGTGAGATACATGGGGGCCGCACCGTGCACACAGTGATGGGTGTGCAGAAGAATCTTGTACTCTATACGGGCGTGAATGGGCAGCCAGTGTAAAGTGTGAAGGATGGGAGTGATGTGCTGGTGTTTCCTCACCCTCATCAGGACCCTGGCAGTGCTGTTCTGTACATACTGGAGCTTCTGAAGGCTCCTGCCAGAGATCCCGACGAGGAGAGCGTTGCAGTAATCCAGCCTGGAGGAGACGAAGGCGTGGACGAGCTTCTCTGCAGCAGGGAGGGATAGGGAGGGACGGAGTTTAGAGATATTACGGAGGTGAAAGAAGGACGTTTTGCAGATGGAGGTGACATGATTGTCAAAGGAGAGGTGGGGGTCAAGCTTGACCCCAAGGCTTGTAACAGAGGGAGAGAGGGGAATGATATGACCACAGAATGAAACAGAGGTGAGAGGAGAGGAACGGAGTTGATGAGGAGTACCAGTTTGGATGGCCTCTGTTTTTGAGGCATTAAGCTGCAGGAAGTTTTGACTCATCCACGCCTTTATATCCTCCAGGCAGGAGCTGAGGCGGGTGACAGAGTTGGCGGGGGAGCTGGGAGGAGTCATTTTAATGTAAAGTTGTGTGTCGTCAGCATAGCAATGGAAGTTGACCCCATGCCTGCCGACGACACAACTAAGGGGGAGCATGTAGATGGTGAACAGGGTAGGGCCGAGCATATGAATGTGTTTAATGATCTGCAACTGAAAATGTCAAATAATAAAAATGGTGGAAACCAAGTTAGAATCACCTGCTTTAAAGTTGCCCTCGTTGACAGGGCAAAAGATTTCTGAAGAATATATATTCAGACCAAAATAGAGTGAACTTTGCTCCAGTATTATTTCAACAAAAAACATGTTTTGTAAATGGAAATTTTAAAAGAAAAAAAATGTATTTCTGGAAATGTACGTTAAAAAAAACGATTCAATCAAAAGAACTTAGATTAACTTTGCTGATTTCTCAGATTTAGTTTCTTTAAATATTTTTTATTATTTTTTTTATATTTTTTATTTTATATTCTTTTGTAACACTTTTAATCGATTTGATTTTCTTTCTCAAAAATAAATTAAACAAATGTTAGATTTTCAATGTTTTTTCAAACCTCTTTTATATTGAGTTTCAGGAATTACAATTTCTTTCAAATTGCATTTTACAGATTACTATGGAAGCCCGTTTCCACCTCTCTGTAAAAAAAGAACAAAATTATCTAATTTTAATGAGATAGTAACTCAATATAATGAGTTATAATTGTATATACAATTATAACAAAATATGAACAATATATTTTTAAAGTTTTTTTTTAATAAAAAATGTTTTTCAAAGAGTTATGGTTTCTTTGCCTGTAGTAATAATGGAGTAAAATAACTCCATAAAAGATGTAGACTCGACTGCTGAGTCAAAATGATAAGGATGTTTTCAGTAGTTAAGGCGAGTCTTTCAAGTGATGAAGCGTCATGCTGCGGGCTGGTTTTCTGCCAGTGACATCGGATGCATGTCAGCAAATCAAATAATGAAGAACCTAGACATTCCTCAGCTCCACGCATCAACCAATAGAGGGATGAAACCTGGACGCAGTGGACATCCATCCAGGAATTTTTTTTTCTTTAATTTATAGAGTAACCCACTCAATTAATTGGTTTGTAGGAAAAACATCAGTACATTAAAACTAACCATGGGTTCTGATCGGATCCAGAAAAACACAGTGTGAGAAGTTGTGCTTTCAGAGCCACAGCCTCACCCTCGTGTCTCTGCAGGTCCTCCTCGTTCACCGAGTCTTTCAGGGGCCTGTTGGAGAGGAGGTTCTTGTTCTCCTCCTGCAGCTGAGCGATCTGGGACAGAAGATCCTGGGCCTCTCCCCGCCACACATCCTCCACCCGCTCCAACTCCTGTTCACAGATTTATAACAACTATCAAACCTTTTGTTTGTTCCCAATAAACCAACCAGGACTCTTTCTCTTTAAGGGAACAACATGAACTCATAAGGAATGAATTTTTATTGCCTGATAGTGTGAACAAGCTGCCTTGTTCCCTTCCACTGGGCTAAAAATACTAATGATGCAGCTTGAAGAAACAGGAACTCCATAGAGTCACTGGCAAACTCCCGCCTCTGAGTCAGAACTTTGAAATTATACGTTTAAAAGGTCTGATTCAGAGCCACGGTCTGCACTACACCTGATTCAGCTATCAGACCCAAGTCATATAAAGCTTTCCATTAAAACCTTTCAATACTTCAAAGGCATTACTGAGCATAGAGGACAATGCGCTGCACCTCCCCATCTTGTTCCTAAACACTGCTTATAAGCTGGCTTTGCAATCATGAGCAAAAAACAAAAGATTTTCAGGTTAGGAACTAAAGGAGCATAAGAATCCACCCTGTAAAACAGCATCCATCTATGAGCAGCCTGTCTGCTCAGATTAGGGCTGAAACAATCAGATTAATCGATTACTGAAATAATCGTCAACTAATTTAGTTATAGATTCATTGAAAAAGTGAGGGTAGAGACACTAAACTTGTCTTTAACTGAAAGAGTAAACCATCTTGAGCAACAAGATACCAAAGTTGTAAAAAAATATTCAAACATTCCCGTTTAAGCAGAAATATATATAAAATATGAGTGGAAATAAGCATGTATTTGAGCACCAGCAACAAAGTGTTTAGATCAAACACTTTGTTGCTTTGTCTTTTTTACAGACCCTAAATAGGACAGAAGAGTCTCTGAGCTTTGCAAGTCCACCGACTCCCTTTAAAGCCGGACGTACACTGTATGAGTTTTTGCCCTTTTGAGCCGATTCTCTAGTTGTGGGAGATTTTTTTTGATCGGACGAGTTTCAGCCTCATCCTGCGTGGTGTAGTATACAGGGGGTAACAAGGGCCGATCAGCCTCTCACGACCACCTCCCGATCAGGAAAGGTCGGGAAAAAATCAGACATGATTGAAATGTAGCCGACCATAGTGAGGTGTTTGTGAGCGAATCCTGCTGCTGAAGCAGAGCTATGAGCTGATTTTCCTGAACGTTGCACACCGCTCATTGCAAACAAGGGAATTCTTAGACTTACGGTACATTCAGCCCGCAGGCAGCAAAAGCAGCAAAAACGTGTGTGTTGCTTCATTTATGCTGCTTCTACGAGTTTAGTTCTGACGCACGACTGAAGCAGCTTTGCTGTAGAAAAGTGGGTCTGATGCGTGTTGGGAGGAGCTACCCCATCCTTTCTTTGTCTGTAACAATGGCAGCTATATTTGCTGTGATCAGTGGCTAAAAAGTAGTTTTAATGTTTTTCAGTGAGAAAATCCACCTGAAAACTTCATCTGTGCAGTCAGTTCATCCAGATTATCATCCTGCCTTCAAATATTATCTTGTAGTTGGAGCCGCTCAGACCCCCACATACCGGCGGTGCTATGTCAGTAGGAATCCCATTCAACAGCAGCCTATGGCCTGTTCGCCTCCTCGCGGTTTGCCGCGGCGGCTGGAAGGCGTTTTTCATGTACGTAATCCAAACTTCAAGCACCAGGATAATAAAAACGAAAAAATTTTTATGGCACGTTTCACTGCATGACCTTTTGCTGCACCTTGATGCACGTCAACCATTGACTTTGCAGGTAAACTAGCCGCTTCTGCTGCCTCTGCTGCTTCAGGTGTGAACATAGCATAAAGGCCAATTTATGCTTCCGACGCATAGCCTCTGCAACCGTCAAATCTGTCTCTGCAGAGGTCCTGCCTCTGTCGTTGCACACCTCAAACAAATCCTGACTACAAGTTTGTCGGTTGCAAATCCGCGCAGACCTCAACCAGAGGTGCGCAGACAAAAAGCAGCTGTGATTGGTCCTTGGTATGCTTTTCCAGCTGTCTGTGTGGTCGTCCTTCTCGATTCGGTGCAGGGGTGCGTCATTTTTAAAAACAGAGGAACAACTACGACAAAAAGATAATAAAGGAGGTTTGGAAGTACAATCCCTTGAAGTTCTTGCGATACTAGAATTAAGACTTAGACAAACTATATTGTAATTTTGTACACACAGGGTGTATACAAAACGAAATTTTGTTCAGTAAAGCTCTCAAGACATTTCCATTTCTTTAAGTGCAGCAGTGATAAAATGTAAAGATGGTGATCTAATGCAAACTTTACACTGAGTTATGATTTACAGTTTTACCAACATTTAGCTTTTTTTTTCTTTTTCCGTTATTCAACATTCAGCAGTCTGATGGCGGTGGGGAAGAAGCTGATGTGGAATCTGCTGGACCTGCATCTGATGCTGCGAAGCCTCTTCCCAGAGGGCAGCAGGGAGAACAGTCCATGGTGGGGGGGTGAGGGGTCATTGATGTTGTTACGGCTCAGGACATGCAGCGCTGGGGTGAAATTTATTTTATGGAGGGAATTCTTCTTCTTCTTCTGTATTTTGAAAAGAATTATTATTCTTTTATTAAAAAATCATAGCTGTGATATTTAATTGCGGATATTACATTTTCAAATATGATTTTTTAAACAAATTTGCTTCGCTGAAGCAGAATGCCAGTAAAGGTGTCTGTGGTTGCTCAGCTTTAAAGCCGCCTCTTTGTTCACATGATCCGTTCTCACATTTTTAACCTTTTCTGATCGTTTCTGAATATTTTATGACATTAAAAGAGGGGAAAAACCTACTAATAAAATCCCTCCTTCCATACCTTTCCCAGATTCATCCAATGAGGGCATGTGGAAAATCTGCCGGCTCAGTCTCTCACACACGCCTCAGATGGAGCGTCTACTTCTTCATAGTCATGGGACTCGGTTAATCAGTCAACCACCGTCATGGGAAACTGACCCCTGAGCTAATTTAAAACAGACAGACTGCTACCTCCAAATAAAACCAATTATTACAATAAGCTGCAGCAGCAGGAGAAGTAGAACGTTTATAATATTCACATACGGACATTTTTTTTGTATGCAGTTTTCAACTTAATGGGTGTTTAAGAAAACTACCTCAGTTTCGTATTTTGTCCGACATCTCTTTCCGTACATTAAAAGCACAAACATGTATTTCAGTAGCATTTAATGCAGCAGGAAAAGAACATAGTTGTTTACAAATGGCAAGACCTTTTTTTTTTTTTCCTGGTAAAAAATCAGAAAAGTGTGGCTTGCGTTTGTTTTTCTTTGTAAAGATTTCAAATTGCAATAGATGATTTTCCAACTAGTTCACAATTAGAGGTGTTGTTCTGTCATATAAAAACACCCTAATGAGTACCGGTAGGTTTAACGACCATTTGTACTTAAAGAAGAAAAAAGGAATGGATGATGAATACTTTGCTGAAGCACCATTGATTAATTCTTAAAACTCTTTGATATTTGATCCAGAAAATCTGGTAAGGCAACCTGGAATTTAAATATAATCTACTCAGGATATTTTGTGGTGCTATCCTAAAAAAGACAAAAATAACAATAAAAAACGAAAACATCTTACATCTTTGAGGTCTTCTTTTTTGTTCAATCGACAGCAATCATGGAACCTTTATCACAATTACTACTCTTGGAAAACAAATCTAAAACAGGCCTCTTCAGGACTCCAGTTACATAAAGAAATAGGTTTTATGTCACTAAAGATCCCAAAGTAACCATATTTAATTATGTAATGTATACAAAGCCCCCAATAAAAGAAAAAAAGGAAAATTCACCCTTTTTTCAGATTTTAAACATAATGAATTCTGATTTACTTTTCAGACAATAAATCATGATTCTTTTAATGGCTAAATACACATCAGCTTCTATGTATTTTTGGATATGCAACTTTAGCTACCGTATTTTCACGACTATAAGGCGCACTTAAACGTCTTTTTTTTCCCTCAAAATGTGCGGTGCGCCCTATGGTGCGGTGCGCCGTATGTGTGTTGTAACTGCGACTTTTGAGACCACCTCATTGAGGAGATGATAAAAGAGTGGCTGAATGTAAGGAGACCAGGTGTTTTTTTTCCACTCATCACCATCGCTGTTAATCTGTAACTCCATGCGTGCCCATCTCACAGCTGATGTGAAAAACACGGGGAAACAAATTAACGCTGTGCTCGCTGTTCAACCGCTCGACATCGGTGTGAACGGGACGCAGCAGGTGCAGCAGAAGCAGCGAGTTTACATGCAAAGTCAATGGTTACGCGCGTATAGGTGCAGCAAAAGGTCCCGCAGCGCGTTTTGAGCCGCAGGTGCAGCACGTCGCGCTGCTGCTGCTCAAGATGGAAAAATTGAAGTTTTGCTGCTGGACGCGCCGCATCAACCAATCAGAGAAGCTGATCTGGGAGCTGACAGCGAGACAGACACAGCGCTCTGATGACATTAACGCAAATGAAAAAGGCTGGATGGAGGAGATGATGCAGGCAGGTGTATGTGAGGAGACCAGGTGCTTTTTTTCCACGCATCACCATCGCTGCGTGCCCATCTCACAGCCGATGTGAAAAACATGGGGAAACAAATGAACGCTGTGCTCGCCGTTATCCCGGGGGTCTGACAAAGGAACTTCAACCGCTCGACATCGGTGTGAAGCGGCCGTTCAAAGTAAGGCTGCGAGCGGCTTGGGAGCGATGGATGACCGACGGAGACCACAGTTTCACGATAAGTGGAAGGCAGCGCCGGGCAAGTTACGCCACCGTTTGCGGATGGATTGTAGATGGACTGTGTCTGCTGGCTCTGTTGTTCAAGCTTTCGCAAAAGCCGGCATCATTTCTGAGGAGCCGCGCTGCACGGAAAGTGACTCTGATAGCGAAGAAGGGGAAACTGGCATGTCTGATTTAGTGCAGCTGTTTAATTCAGAAACAGTGGATGATGACTTTGATGGGTTTGATTAATACTTTGTAATAAATACATGAATAAAGCACAATCATACTCAGTTTTGCTCCCGCTCTATTTTTCTACCTGAAAACTTAATTCAACAGCAGCCTCTGGGCGGGTCTCCTCCTCTTCACCGCGGTGGCTGGCAGGTGTTTTTTCATCTAAATAATCTAAATCTTGCAGCTATATTTGCTGTGATCAGTGGGAATAAAGTAGTTTTAATGTGTTTTTAAGTGAGAAAGTCCACCTGAAAACTTCATAATTGCAGTCAGTTCATCCAGATTATCTATTTCTGTCGGAGCCGCTCAGACCCCCACATACCAGCGGTGCACCGACAGTAAATCCCTTCAACAGCAGCCTCACCGCGGTGGCTGGCAGGTGTTTTTCATCTAAATAATTTAAACTGCAGGCACCAGGATACCGGTAATAAAAGGCAGGTTTCAGAATTTTAAGTTAATTTAGGAGTAATCACAGCGCACTGTCATCTGCGATGTGTCTGTCTCACGGCCAGCACCCAGGTTTGATTAATACTTTGTAATAAATACATGAATAAAGCACAGTCATACTCAGTTTTGCCCCCGCTGTATTTTTAAATACGCAGTGGAGGTATTTAAAGGTAGTAGAGGACATGTACCTGTATATAAAAAACGCGCCCTATAGTCCGGTGCGCCTTATGTGTGTGTTAAATACAGAAATGGCACACATAACTGAGAGTGCGCCTTTTAGTACGGTGCGCCTTATGGTCGTGAAAATACGGTACATGTTTGCTTTTTTTCCTGTAGCACAGATGGTTCCTGTTAAAAGGGAGTTTTTCCTCTCCACTGTCGCTACAAGCATCCTTAGTGTGAGGGATTGCATTTGAGTCAATGAGTCGATGCAATCAACTGGTTTTCCTTTGCAATCAACTGCCAATACTGCACAGCCAGGTTTTAAGTATCGGGGCCAAAAAATGGCATTGGCGCAACACTAGTTTAAATGGAGATTCTTATCGGCCAAAAGAACCATCCAAATACATAAAAAAAATTGACAGCACAGACTCCAAGACACTTATATCGGTCAATATCTGGTCTGTAAAACAAACTTAATATCTTAAAATTGGTAGCACACATTCTGGAGCAAAACATCTATTAAAACAAAACTGTTCAACTTAAATTAATAAAGAAAAATAAAAAGTTATCAGTAAGTTTCCTCTTTAGTTCTGCTGACAGTCTGGCTGGATATCAGAGTATTAACTAAAAATATCCAATTTAAATCATTGCATGTTTACGGAAGAGGATAAGGGCCAATGAAAAAACTTTCAAAAAGTTAACTGATTTTTTAAATATTATTTCAGTTTAATATGGGGGAAAAGTCAGAATTCTGACTTTAATCTCAGAATTCTGACTTTAATCTCAGAATTGTGGATCTTAATGTAGATGGGCACCATGAAGGGAAGAGATGTGGGAGCACTCAGCTTCACTGACAAAGATGCAAGTTGTTTGGGAGGGCCAGTAACACATTGGTTGGAAATGATGGAATTAGGAGACTTTTAACATTCCCGAGGGGTCCCCGGTGATACCATTTCATTAATGGAAGAGCAGAACGTGATTAAAGCAAGAGAGCTAGTCTCTAAAACAGGCATGGCTACAGCTTGAATTCTTATATAATAGCATGTTTGCTAGCTGTAAGAATTCAGACAGAATTCTGAGAAAAAAAGTCAGAATTCTGAGAAAAAAGCCAGAATTCTGAGATTATAGTGAGAATTCTGAGATTAAAGTGATAAATCTGAGATTGAATTCAGAATTTTGAGGAAAAGAGTCAGAATTGTGAGACAAAAGTCAGAATTGTGAGAAAAGAGTCAGAATTCTGAGATTAAATTGAGAATGCTGAGATAAAAGTGATAAATCTGAGATAAAAGTGATAAATCTGAGATTAAAGTGAGAATTGTGAGAAAAAAAAATTGAGAATGCTGATTTTAAAGTCAGAAACGTGAGGAAAAAAGTCAGAATTCTAAGATTTAGGTCATTATTCTTACTTGTTTTGTCATATTATATTGCAATAAAATTCTAAGTCAGTTTTTTTATTTTTTCTGTGGCCCTAATCCTTTTCCGTAAATGTTTGATATAACTTTGAAATCTATTTTTTAAAGATATTTTCGAACTTTATAATAGTTTTACTAATAGAGATTAGGTTAATTATGTTTCCCCATGTTTCCTCAGCCCCTCCTATAGAACCAGGAGCTCATGATCAGACCTGTCTGTGCTTCTTCTCCTTCTCCAGCCGGTCTATCCGCTCCAGCCGCAGCCTGTCCAGCTCCAGCCGCAGCTCGTCGATGTCCGGGCTCATGCTGCTGCGGCTCACCATCACCTCCAGGATCTCCAGCACCCGCACCACTTTGGGCATCAGCCTGGACAGAGCCTCGCAGCCATACTGGTCTATGATCCGCTCGAACTCCTGCCCCACCACCGCGGCGATGTCGTAGACGTCCATCACGGTGAGGTCTGCGACGTTCTTCTCCAGAGCCGAGCCGAAGTCCTCCATCATGACGGGATGTTTTCTGGCCCTCCCGCTTCCTTCGCCACAACAAACTTCCTTCCCCGGCACTAACAAGTCAGGCAACTTCCACTCCACCGATTTAACTTCACAACCGGTACCGAAATAAACCATACAGAAACTTAAAGCGCTAAAACTACCGATTATTCAACGCTTGATGCTGAGTCAGCGCTTTAAATCGATTCGTTTGGGATAAAATTCGGAAACGTCCCATTTCTATCCCGGGCCGGAGCGGATGTCCTCTGGAAGCTAGCGGGTACCGCTGTCCAATTGGGACCGGAAGAGACCGGCACAACTTCCGGTCACGGGATTAACAAAATAAAACAGGAAAATTGAAGTTTTTTGGTTTTATTTGATCTTTTTATTTATGTTATTGCTCTTAACTGCATATACTATAAATGTGGAAATACTAACAATTTAGAGACACCAGTTAACCCAATAGTCATATTCTTTGAGTGTGGGAAGAAGCTTGTGTTCCCATGGAGAACTCACACATGCACTGGCAAAACATGCAAACTCCTTGCAGAAAGATCATAGGCGGGGAATCGAACCCAAGTCCTTGAGGGCATGTTCTTACAGACAGGTTGATGACCTCAGCCCTCTGGGAGAGGCTCGAAGTGGAGCCCATTTCCTCCACATTCAGATGATTCAGTTACGGTGGCTTGGACATCTATTCCAGATGCCCCCTGAACGACCCACCAGCAGAAATAACGTGAACTACTGTAGGAACTAGGGGCCACAGTTGGATTTATTTGGCTTTAGCTTAAAACTGAAGAGTGTCATGACCTAGGCACTGATGACTAGGCACTGGTCTCAGACCTAGAGTTAAGCAGTCATCCAGACAATTATGTTCTTATAGAACCTAAAAAAAACTGCTAAACAATAAAGAGACCTCAGTGATGGAAACAGGGACTAAAACCTGTATGCCTGTAAGAAGTGGAGCCTGTATGCCTCCTAAGCATTAGGGATCTCAAGAGGTCCTTTACTGAAGCTACAAGGACTGCTACAATCCTTTGTATGATATGACGTATAACCATAAAACAATTCACAGAAATGGGCAAAAATACAATATTTTTCATGTGTAGTGTGTTGAAACATACAAACATATGCTTCTTCATTTGTTTGGGTTGTATATTGGAGAGCTTCTGCCTCTCCCATTTGTGTAACTTGAGTTTTTTTGTATTTCTTTTAAAAGAAGGCTTTAAACTTGCGTTTTAACCAGCATCATGCATGTGCATTTCTGTTGTGTATTAACACCCAGGAAGCTAAAGGTTCATAGGCTCTTTTCTTATCCACCATAATGTCCTTACTGTTGACTTCATGTAATGTGAGGGAACAGGAACTGGGGGCCACAGTTGGATGTATTCGGATTTAACTTAAAACTGAAGAGTGTCATGACCTTGGCACTGATGACTGGATTTGGCTCATTTCTTCCACCTGCTTAGCTCCATCCTGCGCTCATTGTTACTCATTTGAACCACCTGTTCCTGTAGCCCATCTAAGCTTCCTGTTTCCAGCCATCAGCGCCAGTTTATTTGAGCCGTGTGTGAGAGTAGTTTAGTGTACCTGTGTGTTTGTGATTACCTGATCCTGACAAGTTTCTGCCTATGGACTTGTTTGCCCCTGTTCTGCTCTGTTTGCCTGATCTGTCTTTCCACTGTTTCCTGGATTCTGCCTGCTTATGACCTTGGATATGTCTCCTGACCCCGGCATGGATATTCCTTCAGTACCTGTCTTGCTCTCTGATTCGCTGGCCTGGAAACCTGCTCCTGCATCGACTCTTGCCCCATTTAAACTACCCTCTGAAAACCGATCTGTGCTGAGCTCAGTTCCTTAAGACCATTTACACACCACACTAGCATGTGATGATCTACGGTACTACTGCTCTCTAGAAGTTAACAAGCAAACAGACATGGCAGCACCTGTAACATTTAGGAAGTTTGCGGAGTCAGTCAAAAAAAGCAGCCTTTGGTGAATTTGCTTGACAGAGTT